TAACCCTTTTAAGTCTAGTGCAGTACCAAAGAATCTATATACCCGCGTTTAGCCTATTATTCTTTAAAAATTGTTCCTTACCTACACTCGTGGGAGGCTCTTATGACATTGGCCTCCCTCAGTAGTGAGCAGTTCGTATTTTTATTTACATAACCTCCAGTGTTCGAACGGATTTCGCCTAGTGTCGGCAAATTCTGCTCAAATCTTTTGGGCAAACCGCCTAGCATTACGTTGGCATGTGAGATCTTTCATGTTTGACCTAAAGGTCGAGAGAAAGCATCGATGCCGGTGTTTTTTTGCATTAAGATTTATGTAATTTTGAAGTGGGTGGAGAATATCGATATAGAACTACCGAAAACCGCTCCACAATAAGAGGTGTCCTGACGATAATTATCTTGATCCAGGTATTCATAAAATGTGAAATCATACCTTTGAAAGCCTAGTTTACTTGTTTTTTTTGCTTTCTTAAACGGTTATCAAATAAACTGGGCCACAATCGATACGGCCCATTTTTCGAGCCTATTCTCTGAAGGACACATATACGTGAGAAATTGGCGGTTTACGTCACAACGCCAGTGGCATTTAGATATTTAAAGAGTGATTTGTGCTTTTGTGGTTTTATACAATAACGTATCAAAGAGACACGGATGAAAAATGGTTCTTCAAACATACTACATTACTGCACACAGGCAGGAGGCCATCGTCTTTTTTACTATATGCCTTTTATACGCTGCTTAAACGGTGCCTTCGCTCTAGGGGTTGTTGCCTAAAGTAAAACCCAGATAGTGCTAATGCGCCCTCAGAAACAGACAAACTTCGGATAATGTTACGAGTACTAAGTCAGAGTCCACAACAGTGTAACCCCAACAAGTCTAGCTTCAGTACGGAAATAGGCCGGAATTCAAGGTCTGTCCATACTTTCCGAATAAATTTTCCAATGCTGTTTTACCGCAGGCCTAGACAGGAGTTCAGTAACCTTTCCACTCTGCTGTTCACCCTTTTAAAACGCACGTTTTACTAAGTCGGCAATCAGCAAAGTGCCCAAATTTAAGTAAAAACCCGAAAAAAAGCATTTTTCGGGAAAGCGTCTACCTATGACTGCACGCTGCTGTTCGGAGTGAAGGTAAAAAGACAATTAATTACATTACAGCGTCTCTACCTAGCCTAAGTCCTTATTTTAAAAAACTGAGTTAGACTTCATCAACTTACCCCATACCACTGGATCTATGTGTGTTTATTCCAGTGTCATATCAGTACGGTTTTAAACGTTTTCTCGACGCTGAAAGGCTTTTAGGTCCTCAATACATAAGCGCAGTTTTGTAAATTAGTCATGGAAACTTGCTATACGTAGAAATAAGAGCAGTACACTAAGAGATACTTGAAGCAACGGACCCTTCTTGACCGCGCCAGATGGTAGATATACGTTAAGCCGTATTGTTAACCTTAAAAATAGGTGAGGAAGGAGCATACTTTCGTAAATTATACTTGGTTTCGGTGCTCCCATACTTCTAACATTGCTATAATAGTTAACGACAGTTTGCCATGGTTGTATTCACTTCTCATAGGTACATATAACATCAAAATTATCTAATATTAAAAAATAAGGGTTTCTGCAGCGTAGTCATAGTCCAGATAAGTGAACATTTAAAAAATATGTGACAGTTGTTATTAGTATGTATGCCGGTCTAAATCCCCTAACGAAAATCGTATTTCAAAGACACTTGTTTCACGACCGTGCTAAGAAAGCGATGTCTTTTGCCTTTAAATTTTCTCAGAAATTGTAAACTAGTGTATCGGCCAGAAGGCACATGGGAAATGCTGGGGAACCCACTGAAGAGTCGAACCCCTCGCAGCTGTGCCATGCAGCGGCAGAATATCGGCGAAACACGCATTTCTGGGTTTTTGGCGAATAGCTGTGGTGCTAAAATGGTATCCTATAACCCTAAAGCGATATCTGCCAAACTTCATCTTTTCTACCGGTAGGAGAAGCTATTCAGCTCATGAGCACTAATCCCAACATGAAGTGAACACACTCCTTTTTTAGAAGGCGACACGATTTTGCAATAGAATAATAGATCATCTAGTCCCAGTGCCGCTGCCGAGGTCTATTTGCATCGTAATTCGTGCATAAATTAGGGACACGGTATTTCTAAAGGTCCGTCTTTAGGACAGCCACTGGTGTGCTCGACATAACAACAAGAAAACAACAAGCTGACTCTGCAATTCAGATCGCCGGAACTTATCGAATAACAGAGAACTCCTGTTCTAAAAGCAAAAGATGACGCATTCGTACTTCAATGGGTGCTCAAACTGCCAGTAAACTGCTCAAATGCTTTCCCACCTCATAATTTTCAGCAGTTCTTCCAATGAGCAACAAATAAGGCCATAGATGTTGTAGCGTTAAAAATAATAGGGGGAAGTCGTCTTGTCGCTCTAAATCTAACTAGAATTTTAACCCCACTTCCGAATGAAGTCCGACTTTTGCTAGTGTTTGTTGAAGTAAAATATTTGTAACAGAGTTGTGATCTTTCTATCGACATCTGCCTTTTCAATTCTTAAGGACCTTGGAGTTGGGTTGGATTAAATTGTTAACGCGGCGTACCATCCTCTTAAAGGCGTTTCTTCGAGCCGTTAGCTTAATGTAGTATCAATTTTCGAATAGGGATGTGTGGCGGTAGATATATAAACGTATTTGGGTAGAGCAACATGTGATTCCTAGTTGTCATCCGTTCGCCGCAGCTCCACAATAAGGCTGTGAATCACCATGAAGACGTTTATATGACACTAAAACCTACGGTAAATTACGTATACGACGTCTTACTGTGAATAGATTAATCTGTAGCTACTTCATGGATTACGTGGTTGAGTTTATGCTTGTTTCGGTTCGACGGAGGGTCTTCAGATTTGCTGTAAAGAAAATAACCTTTTCGCTTCCGTCCCATCCTAGAGCAATACACAGTTCGTAGTCAAGTCTTCATCTTCGAAAAGCTCTCCCAAATAGGTCGATTTGTATCTAAGGAAGAAACCAGACACAATTATCATGAAATTTTGTTGATTAAGCCACGCTTGTTTCATCCTTCATCGCAGGTAAAAAGCAAGGCTCTGAACAACTGCAAGCGTTGTTATTGCAATTGCAGCATATAAATGCCAAGATTTGAAGATACACTTAATACATTTAATATTACAGCACGTTCGTTCGGATTCCCCATAATCCTGAAAAACTACTTGCATGGTCCTCACGAAGAATGCTTTTCAGTTTGGAAGTGTTTTAGCCATTAAAAATAGTTCATGGGAGGTACAATTCATATCTTTACGATTCTTATACGCAATTTAAGAAACATTTTAAGAGCTAACAAATGATCGTGGAAAGAGTCGGGTAAATAAAGCCAGATTTTCCTGTTTGCTCACATTGAAGACGATGTTGGGTGTCTTAACAAAAACCCCATCTTTTTCGAAATCTAATTCCAGAAAGAATTGAAATTGTCAACACTTTTTAAAGTGTGAAGATGAAAGTATATTCTCACTACATAAATAATTGTGAATTAGACTGTCAACAAATAACGAAAGATCTGATCTCCATCGGCGTAAATAGAACTTCACCCTTTATCTTATACTTTTTCGTACGTAGCCGCGCCTTCCAGGCAAAAGAATAACATCAGGATGCGAAAATGTCCTCTACAAAACAGCATTCCATCTCATAGCATCGAATTTTTAGTAACCCTAGTCTTTGGAAAATGTCCTTGTGGACAAATGGTTCATCATTCGTAAAAATGTTCAGAATCCCTCAATTGTGCTACACGTAAATCTTCAGACTTTTCGAAGATGCTATTGGGTGGTCATCAGAAGGACGATAGCAGACCGTGAAGTGTAACCCAATTCTGATCCGTAGGTTGAGTGAGATCCTCTATTGACCACACTTTTTCAAGAAAACTCTGGTCGGTAATCTATGGTTTGAGAGAAGCGAAAGGATGAATTTCAGGGATGAACTTGCTGTTTTAAATTAACGCCTGTTGAATAAAGCTGTTCTAGACTTCTATACTTTTCCACCTATGTATTGATTATTTTATCGGTTACTATTTTATCCAAAAGTAGAGCTCTATCGATCAACTTCTATCTTAGCAACGTGGGTTTACAAGTGGTCGTTTAGCTATCAGCATAGGTGAGACAGGGTTGCTATGCAAAGAGCGTGTTCATACTTAAATATCTGTGAAACCTTTCTACAGTTCACATTTCCTACAGTATTTGCGATTTCTGACTGTTTTTGACCTGAGAATTTTGCTTCTCTTTCATCACTGATAGCCGATTGTGAAAGCCGAGTGGGGTAACCCGTACTTTAAGGGCCTAAAGCCACCTGTTAGGGCAGGTTGCGATGGCCGTGTTACCTATTTAATTACTAAGGCTCAACGCATTCTCAGGAGAGTAGAGCAGCTTTCACTGCACTGCTTTCACTGGCCGCTGAACCGACGACGTTTTATTCGGAATTATTGTAATGTGCACAAATAACCAATATTCACGATCTCAAAATTTTTGCCTCCCTGCAGAAGGGCATTCGCATGGAGCACATCGGAGATACCAATCG